AAATACTAAGGATGGGTAGCTCTTGTGGTTGAGCAATAAAGAGTTGCACTGCCAACCCAAAACATGTGATTTGAAACCACCCGCTGCTTCAACGGATAAAGATGGATAATTTCTTCCTGTGTAATTTACTTACTGCCTCTAGAAGCTTGATAAAGGGTCACCTATAAATCGCTTCTGACTACACCGAATGCAACAATAACAACAACACAAGACAAGATGCACAAATAATCAAACAGAAACAAAATCCCTGATGGTCACAGGCATGGTTAATCATTACTAGAATAAGTTGTAAATTGGGATTACTTGGAATTAATAGCTGATTTTTCAACTCTAAAATTACATTAAGAATATGAGATAGTGGAAAATTAATATAGAATTTCGTGCTTTAGGAAACGTTAGCATGTGACAGCAGTGTGGAAAAACAGAAACACTAAGTCACAAAACTTTGCAGAAGCTCAATGGCAAGGACCTTTCCTCAGCTGAGGCTGTTACGTGGGCTTTGGATTTACATCCTCCTAAACGCAACATAGGCAGCAGTCTGAGAGACCAGTAACTGTGTGGTACAAGACATCACATCAGTGGCTTGTAGACTAAACTATCATATCATGGCTGGGGAAGGGAGGGTTGGAACAGATAGGTGGGTGTGTAAGGAATGCTGATGTAACAGGGAAAGGGAAGAGACAAGATAAATGTGCTTAAGTGGGGGGGACAGTGAACGCATTGGTTATTTCTGTAAGGGAAGATTTTATTGCTTTCATCTGCTCAGTAAAATGCTTGTCTGTCAGATACTGTTACAAAAGTAAGCATCCAAATTAAGACAGTTTAGGAAGAATGATTGGCCATCCACTTATGAAATAGAACAGGCTTATGTATGGTAGAGCACATTCGTGTAGACTATGAGACATGGCAACTGAGGCTAAGCCCTCAAATTTGAAAACACAAAGGAGGAGGAATAGTTGTAAGGGGAAACTAATGATTGGAACAAGGAATGTGAGAAGCATGAATGTAGGAAAACTGCACATTGCTAAGAAAGAAATGGAACACATAAATATTGACATATTAGGTATTAGCGAAATGAGATGGATTGGCATGGGACATTTTGAATCAGACAATCATATGATCTACTATGCTGGAGATGAAAAGGTGAGAAAAAAATGGGATCTCTTACATAGTTAAAAAGGCCACTCTAGATCCATCTTGCAATACAATATTGTTAAGCACAATTGGTAACAGTGAATCTAAATTCCAAAATCTATCTCCACAATATTCTACATGTTTCCTATCTCCAAAGGGGCCCTTTAGAGTAGTGAGAGAAGATCTTCACCCTAAAACCTACAGCGTCCCTTTTCAGCAGGAAGTAGCTAAAAGAATACGCCTTCCCCTTTTCCTTATGAATCAGAGTGAAGTCTCTCTCAGGGAGGAGTGATAGGGAATGGCAAAAGATACACTTACAAAGGAGATTAATCAGACTTTCAAGGGCGAAAAAAAAGAGGAACGAACTGGGGGGGCTAGAGAAAATAGTGCAACAATGAATGAATGGAAATCGAAAATCTCTGTAAATATTCATTAAAATTAATAATATTTAATAAAAATTTTAAAAAAGAAATACAATACTGTGAGTGACAGGATAATATCGATATGCATATGAGGAAGACCTGTTAATGCCACTAACATTCAAATTTGTGCACCAACAACCAGAGCCAAAGAGGAGGAAATAGATTATTTCTACCTACTGCAAAAGTCAGAAATCAAACATGTAACCAAGATGCATTAATAATGATGGGTGACAGGAATGTGAAAGTTGGGAACCAAGAAGAAGGTGCACAGTTAGAAAATATGGACTTGAGGACAGAAATGAGAATGGGATAGAATGATAGAATTCTACACAATCATTATTCATAGCAAATACCTTTTATAAGAAACATAAATTCAGGCTGTACACATGGATTTCACCTGAAGTGATGCACGGGAATCAAAGTGATTATATCTGGGGAAGGAATCGCTGGAGAAGTTCAATATCAGCAGTGAAAACTAGGCGGTACTGATTGTGGAATAGATCAACTACTAATATCAAGTTCAAATTAAAGCTAACGAAGGTCAAATCATAGCCACTGGAATAAAAATTTCATGAACCATGTTTTATCCTGTGATCATCTAATCATCTTTGACACATTTGAGGCCGTTGCTGCAATCACTGTGTGAATCCAGCTCCCTTGGTGTCTTCGAATCTTTTGCTGATTCTCCTTCATTCCAAACATGAAAACACTTTCCAAGAAATGGGTTCTCCTAGCAATATGTCTCAGCCTTCTCAACAATACCACCCCTTGCTTGGCCTCTTAGGTTTAGAGCAAGATTAGCCCTAAAATGTTCATTTGAAACATACCTAGAGAAATAGGCTGTTGTGAGAACACGTGGTTTAAAATTTAGAAAGGTGTAAATCAGAGTTGTAGCTTCTCTCCAAACCTACTAAATGTGTATGCAGAAAAAATGATATGAAACGGTGAACTCCATGAAGAAAACTTTGGCATCAGTACCATATGAAGACTCAACAACAATCTATGTTTTGCATATGAAAGAACATTGCTTGTTAAAAATGCAGTGGACTTGAAGCACTTGCTGCAGAATATCAAACATGGCAGCCTTTAATATAGATTATATGTTATTGTCAAGAAAACAAAAATTCTCACCATTTGACTGAAGAAACGATTTAAACAGTCAACAACTATATCTTATTTGGCTCTATAATCAACACCGTTGGTGTCTACAGTCAGGGGGAGATCAGGATACATGTTGTATTGGGAAAGTCTGTAGTGAGGGACCTTTCCAAATTATTGAGGCGTAATGGCATGAATTTGGAGATCAATCTGAAGACTAAGGTATGTGTGATTCAGCCCATGGTCTGTTCAATCGCTTGCCATGCATCTGAGAGCTGGACAATGAAAAAAATGACAAAGGAAAAATTGATGCCTTTGAACAATGCATGGTTCAAAATCAAGAAAGGTGTATGCCAGGGGTGCATCTTATCTACATACCTTTTCAATCTATATGCAGTACAGATCATCCGGAAAGCTGAGCTCTATGAGGTAGAATGTGACATCAGGATTAGAGGAAGATTTATCAACACCCTGCATTATGACGATGACACAACCTTGCTTGCAGAAACTGGAGAAGATAGGAGGCATTTGCTGCAGAAGACCAAGTACTGCAGTCTTCAATATAGATTGAAGCTCAGCATAAAAAAAAAAAAACAATGATTCACACCACTGGACCAATTGGCAGCATCATGATAGATAGTGAAGGGATTGAGATTGTTAATAGCTTAAGCTTGCTTGGCTCTTCAATTGACATTTTTGGTACCAACAGCCAGGAAATCAAAGGCCACTGGGAAATCTGCTGTCAGGGACATCTCCAGAGTACTAAAGAGCAGCAATGTCAATCTAGAGACTAAGGTGCACTTGATCCAGGCCATGGTCTTTGCAATTACTTGCTATGCATCAGAAAGATAGACAATGACTAAGGATGATAGAAGAATTGATGACTTTGAGTTGTAGTGTTGGAGAAAAGTATTGATATAGCATGGACTGCTAGGAAAACAAATAGGTTCTTCCAGGAGAAGGTGAAACCAGGTTGCTCCTTGAAGGCAAGTGTTTTGAAGCTCCATCTGACATACTTTGGATATGTTGCAAGAAAGGACTACTTGGAGAGGGACATTGTGTTTGTAAGGGTGAAGAGGAAGATCTTAGATAAGATGGATTGACTTAGTGATGAAGGTAATGCGGGTATGTGTGTCAGAGACAATGAGATTGGTTCAGGATAGAGAAGAGTGAGTTCAGAGCTATTGTACAGAGGGTAATGATAAGTAGCAAATGACTTGATAGCACTTTAAAAAAAAACATACTTAGGATACACAAAACACTATATTGCAAATTTTCTAAGAACGTCTCAAGAATCACGTTTGTGTGAGAGTAGAAAGAGAAAACTATGCTAAATATCCCTTACGTTTTAAACACTAGAAGTTAGTACAAACTGAATAGGTGTTATTCATGCTTTTCATTTAAGCAAAATTCTGGTACTTAGCATGGAAATTAAACCATCTGATTATATTCAATAATAGCATCTTATTCAAGGTGGTCACTTTCCCCATCATATTATTTTCATTATTTTAATCAGTATATTATTTTTATTTCTTGCATAACGTACAGATCTCATAAATTGAGTAATTGTTTTTGCTCTACTACTTAAAATATTTTCTAAAACTTCAAAAATACTTAGATTCTCCTTTGCTTTTATCTCATTTTTCTTCTCATAATTGTTGTTGTTGTTGTTATGTGCCGTCGAGTCGCTTGCGACTCATAGCGACCCTATGTACAACAGCCTAAACTCTGCTCTGTCCTGTGCCAATCGCACTGTCTCAGACACTCCCTTTGATCGGGAAACATAAAGACTAAACTTCAGAGACATTGATCCCAACATAAGGAACTACCATCAGCTGATGTGTTTGCAATCACAGAAGCCATGGAAGCTTCATATATGAGTTATTAAATGGAGAGCTGGTCAAAGGGAGATAGATGTGAAGGGAGGGGGTAGAAGTGGATGGGTATCAC